TACAAAGTCCCTGTGTGTTTTGCCGTGCAGGCTTCATCAGGGGGCATATATTTTTTAAAAAATCATTTTGTATTTAATACAGATAATAGAAAGTCCCCTTGATTAAAGTTACTCCAGAATTATTAAAAATAATATTAAAAGAGAGGATCAAAATTAATTTTCAAAAATATGTATTGGTCAGTATAGAATATGAGATAAACAAACTATGCATTGGACATGAAGCAAGATAATGAAAAATATAATATATGAAGACTGACCAGAATATTCACCTAGTGCTGGAACTGTCCATAGCAGTTAAATTTTTTTTACAGTGGGGAATGACACAGCATTTTTTATACATACAGTGATTAGCTGAGCAAGGCCAGAAGTTCCCGGTTAGAGTTTAACCCATGAGGTGCCAAAGTATGCAGCTAGGTGAATGTTCTGGTCAGTCTTTACTTCATATATTATATTTTTCATTGTCTTGCTTCATGTCCAATGTATAGTTTATCTCATATTGTATATTGACCAATTTTTTTTTTTGAAAATTAATTTTGATCCTCTCTTTTAATACTATTTTTAATGATTCTGGACTCTTTCTGTTATCTTTATTAAATACAAAATTATGTTTTTGTAGATTCCCCCTGACAAAGCCTGCACGGTGAAACATGCAGGGACTTTATATAATAAAGCAGTCATCTGTCACCTGGCATTTTTCCCTTTTTGTTCTGCTGGCACGTCGCTGGGTGCAGCCCAGTTTTTCTTCATCCTGGGATTTTAGTCGCCACGGTTGAGCCAGGGTAGCAGCTGTCCTAGTCTTTAATTGTCACCACCTTCAGCAGGGTCATAAATGCTACAGAAGTGAATAATTTGTTTTCTGTTTTTTCTTTTTTTCTTTTTAGACAACTGGTGGTCTCAGGTGTGCCCCACGTACTTCTTGAGGCTGGTGGATCTCTATAAAGGCGCTGTGGTTTACCTTTTGAATGGGAAAAAAACATTACTGATCCCAGTCTTGTACAGTAGCTACATCACAGCTGCCCTGCGACTTCTGGAGAAACTTCATAAAGTAAGGGAGCAGAGTTATGTATAAGTGGGCCTGCGTGTGTTTGGAATGTATCTGTGGTGGGGGGTGGAGCCCTGCCCTGCCTTGCCTGTCGGATTTCATGTTTGCATCCGGGGTCACATGCATAAAGTACGGGTCACAAAAACTTGAACCATGTGATCTGTACGTCTCCATTTTGTGGTGGAGAGAGTTTGTGGTTCAAGGAGGAGGAGAGGAGATTGGATTTATACCCCGCCCTTCACTTGGAGTCTCAGAGTGGCTTACAAACTCCTTTCCCTTCCCCTCCCCACAACAGACACCCTGTGAGGTAGGT